TAGCAATGCATTAATTATGTTGACTTTTCAATCTACTAAATTTGGTAAATAGGATATCTTATATAATAAGTACAGATACAAATAAATAACATGCCAAAATTTTAAAGAATAATTAATGTATTTTAATTTATTATCTAGCCATCAGTAATATCATTTAATGATGATGTGATCATTATCTCTTAAATGATAAATAAAATATTAATTTTAAACAAATATTTGTTTTTTATATAATCAAATAAAAATTAAAAAATACTATCGAAAAATATGAATTATAATATATATCAGTAAAATAAAATCATTGGAGAAGTTCATCAAATTATTTAAGGAAAGAATCGTTTTGATCATATTTGAATAGAAAATATATATATACAAGCAATTAATGCATATAGTAAAAAATTTCTAAATAAAGTATGCATTAAATGTGAGTTGACTTTTTTGCTACTATTTTTGGTAAATAGTATGACTTTTAATATAAGTATAGATATAGATACTTGTTAAAGAAATCAGATTCAATTTATGATTTAATATTTTTAAAAATAATAAAATCATTAGTTTAGGCAATGACATGTGATGCATATATCTAAGTCTATTTACATAATATTTTACCATTAAATCATTGGTAATTTAAGTAAGAAGACTAAAATATTTATGTGATTTAAACAAAAAAAAAATCATCAATTTATAATAAATGTTGTCGTGTTTAATTTTTTGTTAACAAATAATTTATTTTTTAGTAACAAATGAAAGCTGGCAATCAAAACAAATGTATTATCCATTTTTATGTGATATATAAAAAAAAAAAAAGTTTTCGATTTTTATTTAACCAGCCAAATATTGTTTTTATTTAAAAATAAAAAATTTCAAAAAATCTATATATATATATATATATATATATATAAAAAGATTTATTATTTTTTAAGAATAGTAAGTCAAATTTTAGTCAAATTTTGGTCAACATTAATTACCTACTATTTTTAGTAACTTTTTTGTTTTTGTATCACGTAATCTGTAGGACATATGTGGAAGTGAAATAATTAGGAAAATTTTGATTTTCGCCCTAACTATTAGTGCTTGCTCAATTTAAAATAAGAATTCGTATATATAATGAACTATCCTAGCATTTAAATAATTTTATATTTTTAAAGAAAACTGACTAATAACAAGTAATTGTTTCGAAAAAAAAAACAAGTAATTGTTAAATTGTCTACCATATATAGTGGTAAATTATTCCACATTCATGGACGGACTATTTAACTCATCTAATTTATTAATTTTTTCTATAAGACTTATTGAGATAACTATATAAAAAAACATAAAAAATTAATCCTCTCATTTAATAAATTCATATAAGGCTGTATAATTTATACAGTTCCAATACATTCATAAGGCCGTATAACCTGTAACCATTGAAAAAACTAAAACTAATTTCTAAAGCTTTTCAATATTGAAATTACATTAATACACAATTTATATTACTAAAAACAAAACTAACGATTTTAACTATTTTGATAAAATAAAGTAAAAATATATATATATTTTTTTTTTATACAGGGACCTTCCGGTTTCCAGATCCACAGGGGAACCGACTAATCCGAAATCGAGCCGGGTAGAAAAAATATATTTTTCAATTTATATCGTATAACACCCTCATGATTAACAATATGTTGCTGTAAAGTGGCCTGAGGGTTAAATGAGATGTTATATTTGGAGAAAGAAATAACTATTACAATTTTACTGCGATATATATGAAAACAAGCATTATATTTATGAATTTTTTCATTATATTTATGAATTTTTTCATTCCTAAAAATTGTTAATGCTTCTATTGAAGTAAGAATTAATTAATATTCAAAGTAATTACTCTAGCATTTACATTATTTTTATTCAAAAAATATTGATTATTCGATGTAGCGATTCCGAATTCTTCCAGTTGGGAGTGATTCCGAATTCTTCCAGTTGGGAGCTATGATCCTTGATCCTTCTTCTTAGTATTTCCATTGCCAAATCTCATTTCTTATCTCTGTTTCCTTCTTTTCGTTATCTCGTTTTTCAAGTTCTCAGCCCTCGTATCTTTGCAGTTATTGTTGTAACCCTAAATTGCTTTGATTTGGGGATTTTCTTTTAATTTTCCATGGCTAGGGCTTCGAGCTCCCACCACGACGAGGACCTGTCGCAGAGGATGGAAAATTTCTCTCTGTCTGAAAGAGAAGTGTTACTAGTAGATATCGCTAATGAGGATATCCGTGTCAGTGCCGATGAATGTCATCGCAGTCTATTCGGAAAAATAATAGGCGACAGGCCAGCTAGCTGGATTGGAATTAAGCGCTCCATGAACCAAATATGGCGTCTCTCACAACCGATGGAGGTCAAAGAACTCGAAACCAACTACTTCCAATTCATTTTTCAGAGCATGGAGGATCTTAAGAGGGTAAGCTATGGCACTAACTGGACCTTTGAGAACCAGTACCTGATTCCGCGCGAATGGAGGAAAGGTCTAAACAGCAAACATCATTGCTTCCAAGAACTCAACA